CACTCACAGCCCAGAAGACCAACCGTATCCTGGACTGCATGGGAAGAAGAATCATGGCCAGCAGGTCGAGGGTGGTGGTTCTGCCCTTCTACTCTGCTCTGGTGAGACCCCCTCATCTGTAGCACTGTGTCCAGCTCTGGAGTCCTCAACACAAGAAAGGCATGGACCTGTTGGAGCAGGTCTACAGGAGGGCCACAAAAATGATCAGAGGGCTGGAGCAGCTCTCCTGTGAGGACAGGCTGAGAGAGTCGGGGCTGTTCAGCCTGGAGAAGAGAAGGCTCCGGGGGGACCATATTGTGGCCTTCCAGTACTTGAAGGTGGCCTACAAGAAAGATGAGGACAAACTTTTTAGAAGGATCTGTAGTGATAGGACAAGGGGTGATGGTTTTAGACTAAAGGGTGGTAGACTTAAACTAGATATTAGGAAGAAATTCTTCACTGTGAAGATGGTGAGACACTGGAACAGGTTGGCCAGAGAAGTGGTAGAAGCCCCATCCCTGGAAACTTTCAAGAACAGGCTGAACAGGGCTCTGAGCAACCTGCTCTAGTAAAGATGTCCCTACTCACTGCATGGGATTTTGGACTAGATGACCTTTAAAGGTTCCTTCCAACCTGAATTATTCTATGATTCTGATTTTGGCCTGCTAAGATCAAAATGCCTTAGCCTTGCTTACATGTCAAAGTATGGTCTGGAAACCAGATCCTTAGTTTTTGCATAGATTATTTTTGTTTCCTTCCTTATGTATTAATCTCTCAACCTGCCTATTTTTTTAGTATAATCCATCTATTTATCTGGATTTTTTTCCCATCCTTTCAAAAGTAATTTTAAACTCGCATTGCTTTTACTGTAGCAGAGTTGTGTGGATTGAAACTCTTGTGCTCCGTAACTCGCATATGATAGTATTGTTTGCCACCTCCTTACAGAGGTGTGTATGTGTGTATATATGCAACCAAATATGTTCTTATTTTATAGAACAATTTTAGGTAGATCTGCTGTTGCTGTTGTCGCCACAACTTGCATTGCTAGCATGAGGACATGTGTTTGTGTGAAGCCCTTTGACTTTTTGAAAGACAAGATTTAGGCTAGGTGGATCATAGAATCATAGATTGGTTTGGGTTGGAGGAGACCTTAAAGACCATCTAGTTCCAACCCCTTGGCCATCAGCAGGGACACCTGCCACTAGACAAGGTTGCTCAAAGCCTCATCCAGCCTGGCCTTAAACACTTCCAGGGAGGGGGCATCCACAGCTTCTCTGGGCAACCTGTTCCAGTGTCTGACCACCCTCACAGGAAATAATTTCTTCCTAATATCTAATCTAAACCTGCCCTCTTCCAGTTTAAAGCCATTTCCCCTTGTTCTATCACCACCTGCCTTTGTAAAAATGTCCCATTCCTCTTGCTCACTCGCTTCCTCATGAGGGGAATAAAATCTGGTATAATGCTTTTTTATGTGAATAGACCTATACGGACAATGTCAATATGACACCCAGTAAAGAATAAAATTTGGAGTAACTGAAATTGCAGGTAAATGCAAAGTGTATTCTTGTATCACTTGCTTTTGTGCTTATGCATTTTGATATGCCTGTATGTCACTGCAGGAGATCTACAGTAGAAACTAAGGTTTCAAGTAGGTGAAAATTCATATATTTAAGAATACATTAATGAGCTTGTTAATAAATATAACTGTGAAACAGGTTTCTTACAAGCTGATAGTTCAGGTTTTTTTTTTAATCCCAAAGAAAATTGGAAATCTAGTGAGATACAACTTTACTGGGATAGATGAGTAGGGCCTATGCTTGTTGTGTGAGGGGAAAGGAAATGGGAGGAGGATGAATAAATAAGACTCCTAAAAATAACCACAAAGCATGTGTGAAAACAGTAAAATATTTTTGCTTCCATGGATTCTTGCTGTGTAAACAGAAGATAAACACTTAAATTACCTAAAATTAAAATTATATCCCTATTAGATCACATTATTTAGAAGGTAAACTTGTATGTTTGTTTTTTCTAGGTTCAAGAAGGCGTTTGAGTCAGAGCCAACATTACAGTCAGGAATTAATTATGCAGTACTCCTCCTGGCAGCTGGACATTGCTTTGATACTTCTTTTGAGCTGCGGAAAGTTGGTAATTATAGCTTGCAAATTCACAGTGACATTGCATTTTAGTGAATGTATGACACCACCCACTGTCATAGGGGAAAAAATCTGATGGTTGTATACGAATGCTTTGATAGTGAGCATGTGAACATTTAAGTTGGTCTCCCCTACCACCACTGATCCCACCTGATCACAAGTGAGTGCTATCATGAAGATCTGGTTCCAATGTCAAGGTCTTAACTGGTTAACAGAGCTTAGTGAAAACTGACAGCCCTTCTTTGCAATGGCATCATTTGTGTGAAATGGGAACACCTGAGGGGGAAATCCAGTTCCAGCTAGCATTCTTTAAAACAAACAAACCAACAAAACTCTCTGTAGAACTGCGGGGAATATGGACAAAAAGTCCATCCTAAGAGTGGGGAAAATGCACTTGACTTGAGCTTGGGATGGGCTGAGAGAAGAATGTTTCTCTTCCAATGCTTTCTTTGAGGTTTCCTGAATGTCTGTATTCATAGAATCATGGAGTGGTTAGGGTTGGAAGGGACCTTAACTATCATCTAGTTCCAACCCCCTGTCATCAGCAGGGACACCTTCCACTAGATTCCACTCCGGAATCACAGAGTGGTTTGGGTTGGAAGGGACCTTTTAAAGACCATCTAGTCCAACCTACCTGCCATGGGGAGGTAGGGACATCGCTCGCTAGATCAGGTTGCTCAACCTGACCTTGAACACTTCTAATGATGGGACATTCACAACTTCCCTGGGCAACCTGGTCTAATGTCTCATGATTCTAACCATAAGAAAAATTCTTGCTCAAGAAAGAAGAATCAAGGTGTCCCATTTGCTTTGTGATTTTGTTTGTGATTTTGCTGGACTTGAAGAGAATGCAAGGTCAAGATTAGTCAGTAATACTTTCAGGGAAGGTATGGGAGAAAGCACTGAATGTTGTCATATGCAGTAACATATCCTTTGCAACTGGCATTCTTCTTCATTCATTGATATAATTCTTGACTTACTGTATAGTCTTTTTTTATCCTTCTGTCTCCCAAGGAGGTTATCAAGTGAGACAGAAACAGTGTTCTTCACTCCACAGCATATTTCTTATTTTGTTATGGGAAATATTGTCAAATTGCTTTAAGCTTCAGGCTGACTTATCTATTTTGAAACAAGTTTTCAAATATATATATGTGTATATGTATATACATATATATATAAAATATAGACTCTATGTGTGTCATTGGTCATTGATTTTTTTTTTTTTAATTTTATTTTTTTAATAAGACTATGGTCACTGTTCATAGAAAACCAGGTTGGAAGGGACCTCAAGGATCATCTGATCTAGCCTTTCATGGCAAAAGCACAGTCTGGACAAGATGGCCCAGCACCCTGTCCAGCCAAATATTAAAAATGTTCAATGTTGGAGAATCCACCACTTCCCTGGGGAGATTATTTCAATGGCTGATGGTTCTCGTTGTGGAAAATTTTCCTCTTGTGTCCAATTGGAATCTCTGCAGGGGTAATGTTTTCCCATTACCCCTAATCTTTTCCATGTGAGAAGGGAGTCTCCATCTTCTATGTACCCACCTTTAAATACTGGAACATGATGATGAGGTCTCACCTCTGCCTTCTTTTCTCAAGACTGAGCAAACCCACTTCTCTCAGCCTTTCCTCATATGGTAGGCTTCCCAGTCCTTTGATCATCTTCATGGCCCTTCTCTGGACCCTCTTCAGCCTGTCCACTTTTTTTTTTCTTTTTGTATAGCAGGCACCAAAACTGAACAGTGTTCCAGGTGTGGCCTGACAAGTGCAGAGCAGAGTGGAATAATGACTTCTTTATCTCTGCTGGTGATGCCCTTGTTGATGGAACCCAGCATCCTGTTGGCTTTCTTTGCTGCAGCAGCACACTGTTCACTCATATTGATCTTCTTGTTCACCAGGACCACCAGGTCCCTTTCCACAGAGCTGCATCTCAGACTGTGCTGCACTCCTGGATTATGTTTTTATAGGGGAAAGACCTTACATTTGTCTTTGTACAGTACAGTGAGGTTTGTCAGCTGGCTTGAGTTGTGCTAGATTCTGAGGATAATTCAGTGTTTTCTTTGTCTTGGACTAACATTAATGTTTTAAACAAAAATGCAAAACCACAGAGGTTGTGTGGGAAAATGTTTTGCTTTTCTTTCCTGTCCCAAGAATCTCTTACATGTGTGTCACTGTTTTGATATCACCTCTTGTTTAGATCTGTACAAGACCATGGTGTTAGTACTAGATTTGCCTGGCAGTGCTTTCAGTTTGGTGTCCACCTGCAGCATTATCTGTAGACCATAAAAATTAGACAAAGTCTGTCTTCTGGTGGAGATGAGGAGAGAGGCAAGAGCAAGCTGGTTGAAGCACAGTCCAGGTTATATGGGAATTATATTGGTAGGTTGAAAAAGGCTAAAGAAGGATATGATCCCTAACAGCACTTCAGAGGATGCATGATGCTGTAACTAGAAGATGCAAATCAGATGTATCTGATTACACTGGCAATAAGGTAATAACTTCAGTAAAACTAAGTCCAGTATCCAAGATAATTTTTACCAATCTGCATCAGATCAGAAAATTTGCCGTCTAAAAGTTCCTACCTCTCCTTGTCAGAGAATAGTTCACAACTAAAGGATCACATGAAAATCCTCCTTCTATTTTCTGAAAAGTATTGCTTTCTTAACTGTACAGAATTGCAGAACTTTGAGACCAAAACAGAAATGCAGTGCTTTGCATGTACAGTAATGAACTCTGCAGGCTGTGCAACTTTGACACATAAAGGATCCTGTAACATGAATTGTTCTGTCAATATTTGAGCAAGGAAAGCAGTTTATTTATAAAGCCTTCATAGTAATATTTAACTGGTAATATCTACTTACTGTATTTTATTTTCTTCACAAACTGTGGGTATATTCTTGGTGTTATAAAAACAATGGATTTTCTGGCATTAATGGTTCCTCTATTTTGGCTTATTTATTTTTAAGGCAAAATATTTTTAATAAAATATACTGGAATTCAGTTGCTACTTTTTTTTTCCTCCTCCCCCTGCAACTGCCAAGTTTATCATGGAAGGAGAGATTGTCTTATACTTTTCTTATACTCTTAAACTTTTTAAAAAGGTTAAATCAAAATAAACTAGAGAAGATAAATTTTACAAGGAGACCATAAACTCTTGAGTGAAATTTATGAAGATGTTCACTTTTCATGTCTGCATAGAAAGGTTTTTTGTTCCCCCTACCCCTAAAACCAGACCAAACTTACTGGAAAACAAAACAAAATTAAAAAACCTACCTCTATAAACTAGAGTTATAGTCTTTTGAACCTATTCCTGCTCTCTCCACGCTGCAACTGCATTTCCAGCTTGCCTTTAAGGGATAAGTAAGTTTGTAGATGAGCTTTGTAGAGTAAGGTCAGCAAGCTGGAGTGAGTTTTAGCACAGAGTACCTCATCTTTCTCACAAAAAAATGATGAGAGGCTGATGCTGTCTTCTTTAAAGTAATAGGGTCCACTTCACAGAATACTTGGATAAAACTTCCTATTCATCCAGTCTGCATTCTAGTGGTGTCCTCAGATATCATTGCTGCTACACAGCCATCCTTTCTCTCACCATCTTCCTATAGCTCTCCCTTATTCTGTGAGCTGGGACTCAAAAATCCTTGCTGTCACCAGTCTTACCCTCCTAACAAACACTTCTCCCTGCTATGCCAGTAATTCCAGTCCCTCCCCATATGAGTTGTGCTTTTCATCAAAACCACACAGTCAGTTTGTACCTTGCTTTGGCTCTGTTCCCATGTCTGGAGCACTGGAGGGTTGTGATGGGTGGGTTCCTGTAGGTGCAGTGAAGCATGGCAGAGTCTCTGGCCTGTGAACCAGAGACCAGTGCTGCTACTCGCTGTGCCAAGTAGTCAGTGATGGCTTGTCAGCGGTCACCGCAATGGTGCGTGCCATCACACGGTACTCAGTGAAGGCCCTCTGCACAGCTAAATTGCTCCCTTTCCTCTTCCTCCCAGCAAAGGTATACCCATCCAAAATGATTCCTGAATCCTTGGGATACCAATTCCTTACTTCCATTGTGATGAGGTCACATTCAAAGCCTGTGGAATTTAGTAGGTGTCGATCTGCTCTTGTGTGTTGCTGTGATGTGCATGCGAATGTTTTAGACATTCTAAGTCCTTCAGCCTTTGAGGATGTTGCTGGGTACTGTTACTCTGGGGTCCTGAGGGAGATTGATTTTTTTTCTGTTTACTGTGTTGTGTGAATAGTGTGTAGGTTTTGGTTTCTAGAACCCAACTGAAGTTGAGCGCATTTAAAACAAATTTGTCCTTCCTGTCCTGCACTGACAAGTGTACGTGTACATCCTCAAGTGGTCTCTTGACAGTGTGCATATATATATACATATATATATATATATAGCACCCTGGCTTAAAGCCTTGCAGAGTTGATATATATAGACATGATCACTGCTGTATGTTGTGGAGTTGATGAAGGTGTTGTATGTTGCATCATGTCTTAGTTTTGATATATTTTGTAAAATCTATTGCTTTTTTCCCCTCTTAATGAATAACCAAAGAAACTTCTTACCCAAGAAGCAAACAAATAAACTTTTTATGATTTAAGTATCATTTTGTTCTATATGTTACTCAAACATGACAATTTCTTGTTAGTAAGAGAGCACAGTGTGAAATATGGATGTGAAATAGTCTACAGAACACTTGAATACAATTTTACATTTTAAAAACTTTTACTGTCTGATGTTGATAACAGAAAAATGTGAACAATGAAAACAAGGTGAATTTTGTAGACTGAAATGTAGCTAATGTAACGATATTGATTTTCATAAGACTTATTGCTGCTTCCAGTGTGAAGTTTAGTCAGCTATCTACTTAAGGAAGGCTAAGGTAAAAATAAAAATCAATAGTTGCATTGAAATTTCTTGTGAATCCTCAGCCTTAATATCAAGGACAAGGGAAGGTGATGTGGGAGGGAAACTGTCATAGTGGAGTAGTGTGGGAAAAGTGAATAAAAGACTGTGGTGCTGAAGAGGCTGGTCTTGTAAGCTGCAAATTGTTTTATTTGCAAGGGATGGTGTAGCATTATCTCATGTTAGCTATAAATATGTAGCAGCTTATGTGAACTGAAAATCATCCTGAAGGCCACAGGGAAATCTGTAATTCTCAGAAAACATAGCAAGTCAAAATAAAACCTGAGGCTCTCCATAGTGTTGAGTTGCTGAGGGACTTATGAATATTAATAGATGTCTTTCATTGGGGTAGGATTTGCTGCAATTAAAAGAACATCACTGCTGGAAGAAGCTCAGTGGATCATCTGTTCCTTCTGCATGGGACCTTGTCTATAAAGGTAAGTTTGGGTCTTGGGGCTTGTAAGTCAATAAAACAAAGCAGAAAAAAACATAATAGGTGCCTTATTCAGCATCTGTTAAGTTTTTACAGCTATGTTGTGTAGCCTAAGGCCCCAATTTACCTTTACAGATGAGGTCCATGCAAGAACATAGGTAATCTGACTGTGGCCTTGTCCTGACAGTGATGTCTTAAAGTTCCTTTCTTGAGAAGGCTTTAGGAAGAGGGGGAGGGGGAAAAAAAATTTGCTGCCACTTAGGGTGTTTAGAAGGTATATAACATTAACTGGTAAGTATGATTTCCATCTTACTTCACTGAAGTGGAGGGACTACAGTAATTTAAGCAATTAATAGATTTCAGATCAAGGAAATGGTTATTTTAAAACTGCATTAATACATTCCTATGACCTGTTATTCTTTTTACTACAGGAGTAAAGATCAGCAGCCTACTTGGTAAAAAGGGGAGCTTGGAGAAACTGCAGAGCTATTGGGAAGTGGGATCTTTCTTGGGGGCCAGTATGTTGGCTAATGACCATATAAGAGTGATCCAGGCTTCAGAAAAGCTGTTTAAGCTAAAGGCACCAGCATGGTAAGGTGATAAACAAGATCACGTACATTGCTGTATATTAAAACACTGAACTCCTTCAGCTTTCACATTTGGTATTGTATTTAGCTGATGGGAGATTGGTTTTGGTTTTTTAACCGATTTTGCTGTTTGTGTTTTGTTTCACTGCACTTTTACCCAGACAAGGGACTCTCTTCCCCTTTTGCCCTTATTCAGGAATAGATTTGATATGAATCTCTAATTTGATGTCTGAGAAGAGTGGATTCACCATTGGCTCCAGGCTCTTCTGTAGGCAAGGGGGAAAGGAGTTGCCTGTAGGCATCGTACTTCAGTGGTTAGATTGCTGAAGAGCAGTGGTAGTGGCGTGTGGGTTTAGCCATAACTACCTGAAAGTTTTTGGGAATGCAGACAACTTGGCTAGAGAGGTATGGATATACCTTGGAATACTGTGATGGTTATTGCACATACCAGCTGATTCAGGAACTTGAACATAAATGAGCTGTATGGTGCAAGTTGCATCTCATTATGATGAAGAAGAATGCAGATGAAAGTCCAATTAACAGAAAGGCTATAAATCTAGGGTTAAAGAAAACCCTGTAGGCTCAATATCTGTTATGCAAAGGCCGAGATGTGTGCTCTGACAGCAGGCTCCTGGCACCTGTTCTGCTCTGGATGTAGGCGGCAAGTAAAAACCAGTCACCTGCTCATCAAAGGCTGGGATCCTGTTAGCTGAGGAGAACCAAGACTCCTTTCTGACTAAAAAAGTTGTCACTCTGCCAACTGAAAAAGTGCATATGTCACAGCCTATGTATTTTTGTCTTTTTATAAAGGCTAGAAAGTGTCTCCAAAAGCTGATCAGAGAATAGTGTATATATGTGTGCTACAATATGGAAATGTTAAACTCCTATATCAACATAACATAGGAAACTGTCAAAACTAAGAACTCTAATTTTCTGACCAAATGTTTTATAAATCTGTTTACAGTGTATTACTATCTGCAAGGTTTTCCATTTTCACTATGTGCATGTTTTACTGAAAAGCTGGATAGCAACTCTGTGGAAGTCTCCTGGTAGAGTTTTCTGGAGTTTATGAATGCCTGGTTGTCAGGATTTTATGTTCCAGTGCCTTTGGGGTTTAAATCTGTGGATTTAACTCTGAAAATACAACACACTCATTTGTGCTTCAGGAAGGATTCCTCCTGTGAGCAATTCCTTCCCAGTCTGTTGCCTGCTGTTGAGTAGTGCCCATTTGGTGCAAAAGGGAGTAGATACAGTACCTTAAGCTGGATATCCCCATCACCTGAGAAGGATGATTGGAAAATGCACAGCTATGGAACTGTTCCCAAAAGGCCTTCTGAGTTTATGTTATATCTTCTTGTCATAATCCTGGAAACAGAGTTTCCATTAATAATCTAATTGTGGTAGGGTGATAACTGTGATAAATCCTCTTTAAGCATGCTTGTCTCATTGCTTTAGTATTCATAAAAAATGTGTAAGGTTGTTTACAACTTCTTTCAAAAATGCCAAGAGAAAGCAATGTTATGAGGAGCCCCAGAAATTGGCCCCAGTAAGTAGAACAGCAGAGAGAGGGATGAACTGCATTTAGGGGAGACATTCAGCACTGCTCTTGTCCTTCCCTAGCAATGCCAAAAGGCCGCTTAGCGTAGCTGTTGTCTTTGTAGCATAATCCATTCCAGAAGTGTCATGTTTTAGAAATCGGTGTTAAACAACTGCCAAAGCAGATACAATGTGGAAGACAGAACAGTGTAGAAAGTTAAACTAGTGGACTTTTCACATGAGTTTTTATTTGAGGTTGGTCACTACTGAAACAAGTTTGACATGGACTCAGTTTGGTCCATAGGTAGAGGACTTAGTTATTTCATTAAGCTTTCGTGACTTAGGACAGGAGATGGTATCTGGGATCAGGAATATATGCAGGAAGGAGTGTCCCAGAACTCATTGGTATTTTAGGCAGCTACATTTCCAGTTCAAAATGCGGAATTGCTATTATTAAAAACAATCCTAGAGAATCAAAATCTTACTGGCTGCCTTGGTGTTGCAATGGTGAATGCTTTAGTTGTGGTTAAAGGTGGAGACACTATTATTTGCAAACTATATTAATTTTACTATCTATGTATGCTTGGATGATCACAGGTACCTGAAGTCTATTGTAGAGACTATTTTGATATATCAGCATTTTAAGAAACTGACTCCAGAACAACATACAGCCAAACAGGAACTTGTGGACTTCTGGATGGACTTCCTTGTTGAAGCCACAAAGACAGATGTGTCTGTAGTTCGATTTCCAGTAAGTGGTTATTTTGTTGTTGTTTTGGTTTTTGTGATTTTTGGTTTTGTTTTTCTTTTAAAAAATTGTGACATGAAGGAAACGAGCACAAAACACTGTTGGTTTTAGGTTGCCAGACAATAAACTGCTTGTCCAGAAGAAATGTATTTGACCTGTGTATTAGATTGATTTTAATTGATTGCACTTGGCTACAATGGGATTGCACAGTGTATTCCATATGAAAGTAATGAGGAAAACAATCAAGACAGAACTTTGCTATTTAGTGTTTGCTGCCAATGAGTGTACTTCTAAAGCAGACTTTAGCAGTGTATTCCAGGTGATACCATATTAATTATACTATGTTTTGAAGAACAGGTATTTAATTTCAGTCTCTTTCTAGCTTAGCAGGCTTTGCATATCTTACTGCTAATTAAGTCTGTGCTCTTAGAGGTTAAAATTCAGCCCAGGCAGTTAGAAATCTATTGTTGCAGCTACTAGACAAGGTGTTTCAACGACATTGCGCTATAAGAGTTGGGATATGTGTGTCTCCAAAAGCTGATCAGAGAATAGGTGATCACACACACTGTTTTGATTTCTTAAACACTTTGCTGAAAATTTTTATTAGATACTGTGGTGTTGCACAGTGTCCTGAATGTATACTGTAAAAAGATCTTTGTTCCCTGTACATATTAACTGTGGGTGTACGGGAAGTAATATCTTGAGTATTCCTTTTAGCTAACCATTAGCAAATACAGCTTTTTGTTTTAAATAGCAGTTGCTATTGTCTCCCAGATACTTGAAGTGCATACTGGTTGTTCTGTACAGTTCTTCTGACTTCCGTGTGTAGATGGTATAATAAGCCATAAGGAAGCCTCTCGTGTTGAACAGCAACAGCTTGAAGCAGTAAACTGAAAGCAACGTGAGACTCTCTAGGGAGTCTGGTTCTTCTCCAAGGAGAATGGGCATAAAGTTTTGCACAGAGGCAAAACAAATATTTTTAATCCTCTGGTTTTTGTAGAAGACAAGGCTGTCTTTCTTTTAGATTTTTGATGATGAAATGGTTCAATTAGATACTTAAAATAGGCTCTGCCTTATTAAACTGTCCAAGTTAAATGGTTTTGATTTTTATTAAGAGATAAGCTGAAACTGGTCATTGTGATAGCATGAACCAGAAGATAAACCCAGTGACCACATAGTTTGTGTTGTACAGGAGACTATTCTGGTGTTGCAGACACAAGAAAGACATGGACTTGTTAGAACAAGTCCAGAGGAGGGCCACAAGGATGATCAGAGACCTGGAGCACCTCTCCTCTGAGGACAGGCTGAGAGAGTTGGGGCTGTTCAGCCTGGAGAGGCTTTGGGGAGATTTTCTAGCAGCCTTTCAGTACCTACAGAAAGGCTGGGGAGGGACTTCTGTCAAGGGCAGGGAGTGATAGAAGGGTAATGGCTCTAAATGGGAAGAGGGAAGGTTTAGATTAGACATTAGGAAGAAATTCTTGACTGTGAGGGTGCTGACACACTGGAACAGGTTGCCCAGAGAAGCTGTGGATGCCCTCTCCCTGGAAGTGTTCAAGGCCAGGTTGGATGAGGTTTTGAGCAACCTGGCCTAGTGGAAGGTGTCCCTGCTCATGGCTGTGGGGTTGGAACTAGATGATCTTTAAGGTCCCTTCCAACCAAACCAATCTATGATTCTATCTCTCATAATACAAAAATTCTAATTGTGCCTATTCAGAAGAACAGTTACATCATTCAGCAAGTCAACAAAATGAAATATACTAACTTACTTTTCCCTCCCCTCCCAGATTCTTGTGAATAATTTATTTTAAAATAAGTTTTTTGCAGATTTCTGTGTTATGAATTGTTCTCAGTGCTTGAACTTAAGGACTTCGCTGGCCATCAATACTAGCCTAGCTGTCAGTTGCTTTTTTTTATCTGGTAGCATCAGTGCCATCATCCTCTTTTCAGTCTTTAGAGGAAGAAATGACATAGCGTGTGAGTAACTTGCTATGGGCTAAAGACCCCAATTTGTGAAATGATCTAAACCAGATGTAGAAATTATAAATGTCTGGAGATGCCAAACAACACATTTGAAATCCCACCGGTCATCATTTACAGAGTTAAATGCCTAGGTACTTCTCGGAATTTGGCTTTGCACTTCTTCCAGTGTGTCTGCGTGCTCATTGACTCTGTAGGAGGTGACATAGCTTAGATTTGACTCTTCAGCCATGGCTCTTTCCAAGACTTTCTGCTTAGGTGTTTATGTTTTGGGGTTTTTTTAAGTAGATCAAGGTGTCCCAGTCGATCCTTATTTCCTAAAGCAATTCTTTCTACTCCAAAAATTTTCAAATGAGAAATTCTGTATCTTGGATATTTTGAAGATGAAGTTGGACTGGAGTTTTTATTGGAGAGGAAAGGTCAGAAGAAAGGAAGGAGATTATCACTTTGTTAACCATCTTTAACTTAGTCCTATTTATAAATGTCTTTCAGCTAGACACTGAAGGCTAAAAATCTTCCTGTTCATGCTGCAGTGGGAGAGTAGTTTTTTCTTGAATTAATAACAATGCTTTAAATTCTGCAGAATGAGAAAACCTTTGACACAGGCGATATAGGTTTAGTGTTTTAGACATCTAGTTTTAACCACTGAAAATCTAAAATAGATAGTTCTAATGAGAAACCACATTTCTCAAATAGCCAAACTTGGTTGACTTTTTCCTTTAAAGCATTCTGGAAGCTTCAAAGGTCTGGAAGTAATTTCAGAGTTGCTGACTTAATTTACAAAGTAGTTATGTTAGACTAAATCTTGCTGCATTGCATCCTATCTCTTTTATATGATGGCTCTAGTTTTTGTTTCACTTATTCCAGGAAATTTTCTGTAATCTTTAGCTGTCAGCCTCTGCAGCACTGCTTGCTGCTTTTGAGAAAATCGTGGTGACTACAGTTCACAGTGATCTAAATCAAAAGCAGTTCAGTCTAGCTCTAGGTTGATGTGGTTTATTTTTATTTACCCAAATGTGCTCCTACCAAAAGATGATAAAGGTATACCATCTGCACGTGGGAGATGAATGTTCCTGAATGGCATTGCAAGAAAATTACTTGTGACAGAACAATTTCAAAATCTGATAGTTGTCAGAGAAATAATTTGGAAATTTATGATATTTGCTACCAATTGACACATAATAGCCTTGCATAAAAAAAGAACAAAATTAAAATTGGCTTTAAAAAAAAAAAAAATCTTAAATTACTGTAAGCCATACTAAACTAAGCCAGTACCTAAAGTTTTACCTTTCGTTCTGTTTCCCTTGTTTTTCCTGCTATGATATGACTACAGAAATAGTTTTAACAGTTTTTAATACTTTTTAAAGTTCTACATTTTTTGTACTAACTCTTAAACTATTTTTTCTACAAGGTTTTAATATTAGAACCAACAAAAATCTATCAGCCCTCGTATCTCTCCATCAACAGTGAAGCTGAGGAGAAGACTGTATCTATCTGGCATGTGTTGCCTGATGACAAGGTATACCATGATGTTTTCTGTAGTTGTAACCTTTTCACAATTTAACAGCGTGCATGGCACATAAGGCATATAGCATGTGAACAGTTACATCTAGTGATGGGTTCTGCAAAGAAGAAAAGTTTTTAGGAACATGCAAGAAGGTGCTGTGGACATATATTGCCATGCTTTTTTTTTTTTTTTTAATATAGCATTCTTAATTTTTTCTTTAAGTTTGTCCTGTTGTTCAGTGGATCTTTTGTCTCCATCATTTTTTAAAATAACTTGCATCTTCTTACAGATTGTTTTAAGCCAGTGTGTAATATACAACAGGTTTTTTGGTTAAATTTTCATAAGTAATTTACAATATATTGTCATCATACAAATAATGAAGCATAAAATTACTTACACAAACAGAACTATCTTCTTCCTGTATTTGCAGTATTGCTTGTCAGCTGTGGTAAATACTGTGAAAGTAATAGAGACTGATGTCTTAAAATATGAGCAGAATCAATCAAAAGCCAAAGAAATATTTGGAAGAAGGACAGATAGATGATCAGAAGGTCTAGAAATTGAAAAAGCTGGGAAGTCCATATGTCAAGGTGTGAGATAGCCAGACCTGTTTGGAAAGGAGCTTAGAAAATCTGGAGATGCAAAGGAGGAGGAAAACCTAGCATGGTTATCGCATTCTGGGATGCTTAGGAAGGAAAATATTGGTAAGAGTGAAGACGGGGAGGATGTTGTAGGACCTCAGAAAAGGATAGGATCACAGGGGGGAGTAAATAAGAATGAATGGAGGCTGAGTCAGCTGGAGGCACAACACTGGAGATAGTGCAGTTTGTAAGAACTTCATTCTTCAGTGGCAGCACTTTGTTTGCCTGCAGGATAGGACAGTGAAGACCTATTTTTCAGTTAAGTCATCCTTCAGCTTTCATACTTGTAGTCTGTTAAAGGAGAAACATTTTTGCATGCAGAATATGTGAGGCTGTACTGCTTAGAATTTTTGTTGTGAGTTTATGAGAAAATGTAAATGGACAGTGGCTGAAATAACATATGTGGAGCAAAAGCTGAAATGTTTGCCTAGACCAATGAATTTTTGTTTATTTGTGGTTTATTCTGATTTTTTTCCAAGTAGGATCAGCCTCTGAGAATAATATAAAACATTAACTTATGCAATTCTTGGGCAAAAACAAAATTTATCACACAGTAAATAATGATTTGTCAGTACTACAGAGTAAATCTTGCTATTTTAAAATAATCTGTTCTTGAAAGTATTTCTGTACTTAGAATTTAGTCTATTTAGAAACTACTTGTACATGCATAATTTTGGGGGTTTTTGTAGGCTTTTTTTTTTTGCGTGTATGTAGTTCACCTCCAAACAATTCTTTCTGTTCTGTTAAGTGGCTTATCTATAGTATAAGAAGGAACAGGACTAGAGGAAATTTTCTGGACTATTGAGTCCTGTTTACCTCTGTTGCAGATGCTCCTGCCACGTAATGTTTTGCATAAAACGATCAGGCTCTGTCTGAGTACTAGTGTAGGTTCCACAGATGACCATTTGTGCTGGAAAGTGGTTTGAGAATGCCACTGTACCTCTAGAAGAGCCTGGAGCAGAATACTGCTGATGAAATAAAAGAGCTGTTTCAAACCCAGACCGGAACTCAGTGGAGCCTGCAGCTGGCAATTTTGTACTAAATAGGCAAATGATAGTCAATACCAGGATAAATAATGGCCTTTTCCATGGCTTTTTTAGCAGCATATCTTAACATTATCTTTAATAATACCAAGCTTAACATAAACAAATGCTTATAAAAGTCAGATAGCGCTATGTTTTGTAGAATGCACAGTACCTTTGCCTTGCAGTTCCCTAATTTTAGCAGCCCTTTCCGCATGGGGTTAGAGGAATGCAGCGCTGCTGTTTGGAAGTTCGAAATAGAACAGCCTGTCTCTGTTTCGCGTTGGCTTCTGAATCCATTTTGAGTTTTGTTTTGGGTGGTTGGTATTTTTTTGCCTAACCAAAGAACAGATGCTGAATTTGGATAGCACTCCTGATATATTTACTCCAATGTATTCAAAACTTGGCAAGATCATGAGGGACATAACTTTTATATTATTTCGTTGCCTGAGAACTTTGTGTGGTAAATAAAATATATATGAATCTGTGAGAGATTAGTTGCATACAGATGACAGGTAAAAGCCACAATACTTATACTTCTTGTTATGCTCCTTGAGCATTTCTGCATGTCAAGTTGTATATTTTAACTTATTTAGATTTTTCCCAATAGTGGGACAAGTATTGGACAAGTACCAATAGCTAAGCTCTGAAGAGAGTTTCCAAGCATGGAAAATTGGAAAGTGGCAGGGTTTGTATATGGAGGGAGGAGTAAAAGTGCAGATTCACCCTTATTAGCAGAGGGATTGAGTTGATGATATTTCTTCATATAAGAGAACCAGGCAACTCAAATAGTAGTTTCACAGACACTTCGTAGTAGCATCAGTTAGTACCTCCACTTCAAGATGCAATCACACCTTTTCTTAATATCAGGCTATTCTCCTGTCCCTGTACCTAACTGGAGAAACCCTTCCCCCCATTTTACATTGAAGAAATACTGGAATTACTGCTTTATACTTTATAATAGTGTAAAGCTTGCACTTCAAGAAAGATTATTATTTGTATTGTTGGTACATTGTGTTTAGGCATTTTATGTTAGCATCACAACCTTTAATGTGATTTGAGCAGGAAGGAAAGAATTACAGAAGAGGAGAAAATTGATGTAGGAAGCCTTATAGAAAGCTGTTATAGCTGTGAGAATAATTTCACATTGTGCAACTCTTCTGGCAGTGTATCTGTTCTGACATCTGTATATTTCACTATTCATGAAATGTTTTATAAACTACATGGTTTCTTGTCTTCTTTTGGAATACATTTGATGATGTTTGTATTTGACACAGTGCCCTTATGCTATAAATTACCTCTCTCTCAGCAAGAAATGTTTCTGTGCCTTTTAATTGCTCAGGTCACTAAAATGCCCAATTGAATTCAGCTCTAGAAAGCAGAGGTTCTTCAAATGTGTTGCTTATTGTGGTGGGATCCCAAGGTTGCCAGGACTTTGAGGTGGTGTAGTTCCACCTTTTCCTGAAAGGAGAATGTTTTCATTAGAAGATACAAAAGGCTTCTGTTTCCTACAGTAGTGTTTTATTAGCACATAAACATAGAGCAATATGACTGTCTACAGAGAGAACTCAGTTCTGCTGAATATGACAGATGTAAATTTTAAAGATCTGAAAATAAGTGAGGCTTGGCACTTTGTGTTTTCATAGGGTGGCTTCTTTCTTCTAGCTTTGTTTATTAGTCCAGCAGCTCTTACTGCTTTCTTCTGGATTCCTAGGGCAATAGTCTCCTTTCTCTTTCTGCAGACACTTGGCCTTCAGATTTGCTCCTTCCCTGAGTAATTCCTCCTACTTTTCAAGCATTTCCTGCTTTGCTGTCCAGTGGCAGGCTTCCTGCTTGTAGCTCTCTCTGCCTTGTCTTCCCACACACTAGGACTTTGAGCATGCAGAGCAGGTTTTTGTTATTCTTGGAGGTGGAATTTTTTAACCCACTTTCCAGAGGGTCACACATGAGCCCAAGTTCAGCACCCAGACCAGGCTATACTTGCAGCCCTTCTGATAGGCTTTTTTGCATGCTTTGGTGGTTTGACCCACAGTAGGACCATGCAGTCCTGCACTGACTCCCCTTACCCAGTGAGATGTGATGGGAGTTTCAACAAAGGGGACACAGGATTAGGATGAAGGACAGGAACGGGTCACTCACCAGTTATGGTCACGGGCAAAACAGACTCAACTCGGGGAAGAAAAATCAATTTAATTCATTGCCATTCATCTGAGTAGCGCACTGAGACATAAAAACCACATCTTACAGCACCTTCCCCCACCCCTCCCTTCTTCCCGGGCTCAAATAACTTTGCTTCCAATTTCTCTACCTTCCCCACGCAGTGGCACAGGGGCAGGGAATGGG